TGTGAAGGCTCGAAAGGTTGAGGGAGCTGTGAGAACTTCTTATACCCGGGGTATAGTGCAGCAAATTATGGGCAGCTCGGCCAAATCCGTCGGCGCCCGTGAAACTCCAAACCGTTATTAAATCGGCAAAAATTGACCAGCGACCGAGGGGGTGGAGCTGTTTCCGAGAAGGAATATCTGCCCACAACAAAAAAGATTGTCATAAACATGAGAAGTCCCAAGAAACAAATAAAAAGACCCAAAGGAACCGACGTACTTGTCGTTCTCCATTCCCGAGGGCAAAATAGGTCATTGTACTCGGGACCGACACCCCTCTCCCAACATCCTTGAAGATCAAGATGTCGTCCTTGTACCCCTTGTCCGAGTCAGGAAGATGGGTTACAAGGTACATAGAGGGGTCCCTGGCTTTGAGGTAGAAATGTTGGTGGGGCATGACTCTTAGGAGGGAGTAACAGAAAAGGAGATCATTGAGCCCAATATTCACCCCGAGGCGCCTATTGAGCTCTAGGACCCCCATAATTATCCGAAAGACGTTGAGGCAGCATTGCCCGGGGAAGAGACGGAAGCGAGACAGGAACTGAAGAAGCAGGGGGGGTAAAGGAAACCTAATGCCACCCTCTATGATGGCCTTGGTATAGAAAGGCATGGCATCCGCGGCCCCGAAGGTAGGAGAGTTCAACAAAGGGTTAAACCCACTACGTCCACGCTCGGGGGGATGCCATACTTCGCCCTGAACCTATCGATCTGTGCCTCGCCTGTCACCTTGTATTTCCCTGACCCCGAGGGACCAGCCGATGGATTCTCGGGAACAGGGCGACGACGAGGCATCTCTAAAAGAAAGGGAAGGAAAAGGTGTTCTCTCTTGAAAACCTGAGGAAGTTCCCCGAGGGTTTAAATCAAGACGTACCGACCGGATGACACCACCGTTCAATCGGAAAACAAGAAGGCTAGGAGGACGATAAAGAAGAAGGTTGTGAAACTCACCAGAAGACGTCGGAAACGGAGTTTTTCAGGAAAAACTTTGAAAACGACTCGCACCGGAAGGACCAGGAGTCAACAATGGGTTTACTGACTGTGATTTTAAGAGAAGATGCTGTCGACGATGGCTGAGGAAACAAAAACTCCGGCGAAGCAGATCAGAAAAGGCGTATTCTGGGTCAGAGATCGGAATGGCAAAACAATGGAAACCGGAGAAGAACCCCCTTTATATAGGGGGGAAAACTGTCATCATTGGGCGGGAGAACCAAAACGGCGCATTTAATGCGCACGACATCCCAAGACGGGGAAAGCTGCTCGAGGCCATAATGAAGGACGGATGGCAGTTGGAAAACCCTTCGTCTCCTGACAACGCGTGTCCTCGGCGTCAGAAGATCGAAGGCTGGGGGGCAGTTGATGGGACTCTTCTGAAAAGCCTATGATGAAGACACGTGTCCTCGGGGGTTCTAGAACAATGTTGCTCGGGTTCAAGCACCATCGGCAAAAGCGTCCTCTCCCCCGAGGTACCTCTCATATAGGATCACATATTCGGTACATTATACAATGACATGTGTCCTCGGTCACCATGTACCTCGGGAACACACCACCCCTTGGTCCCCCGAGGTGAGCCTTTCCTCGGCGCCGAGGGTCACTCCATCCTGGACGCTTCCTCTACTCCCGGATAAAGTTACTGACGTACGGGACATCAGCCTATGCCAGTCTAGACTATTCATCATGACCCGTCTTACACAAGTAATGTCAGAACATGCTGGAATACAGAAGTCATAGCCAATACGTGACGGACGCGTGGCATATGATATCACATCAAAAACAGGCAAACCGCACGCTGTTGCTGACATGCGCTTGGGAAGCAAACAATTAATTGCGCCCTTCTGTTGACGAGACCGCATTCAATGCGGTAAGGTCCGGATATGAAAGGCAATAAATGCTCCTATTACGGAGCATTTATTACATCCTTCCCGAAAGGAGCATATTGTACCGTCGGCGTCCCGACGACTCAACATTGATTGCTCAGGACCCCGAGCAGTCAATTAGAGAAGACATTCCTCGTCAAATCAATACACACGCTACCAGTGCCTGATGATCACCTACTGACCACACTGACAGCAATCATGAGCTTCTAAGGTATAAATACCCCTCCCAAAAAGGCAAACGGGTATGCAATCACAAACTCTCTACTACGAAATATCCTTCTCAGTGTTTTCTCCTTCCTCTCTCTCATTCAAAGACTGACTAGACCGTCGGAGGGGATACGCCGGAAAACACTCCGGCGCCCTTCTAACTTGTTCTCCTTTGTTCCAGGAAATACCTTTCGCACGTACAGGATCGTTCCTCCTTTCCCAGGATCATAAGCTGTTTCGAGCAGTGTGTTTGGCCACTCAATCGGCTCACCCAAAGTTCACCAGGGGAGAGATCTGTTCCCAATATTTTATATATATCGTGCAGGATCAAGCCCGCACAGTTATAATTTCTCATTGTTTCATTTCTTTATAGAACCAATCAACCATAAACGAAAAGTTGTGATTTTTATTTCCTTAAACTTAACACGAGCCACCAGATCATTATTCTTCGTGTATTCTCCAACAGAAACAAACGAAAGAGGAAAAGAAAGTAGTAAAAAGTTTTATGTTTTGATTAGTACGATAAAACAATAGAAAGATGGAACGATGGAGGAATATATAAAATATTATATTTAATAAAGAAGAAAAATAACAAAAATAAAAAAAATGAATAAATTAATTTTTCTTCTAATTCATCAAAATTAATCCTTCAAAAATTGAAAAAAATATGAATACAAAATTAATTATATGTGTTAAAATATATATTATTTGTCTATATATAATTTGATATATACATACTATAACCTTCCCTATAGTAGGAGGAGGTGCAAGTAGCGGCGCAGTTGGAAGTGCAAGAAGCGGTCTAGGAGGAGGCAAGGCCGACTCAACAGTAGAGTCAAAAAAAACATGTTAACCCCTCTTTTTCTTTTTGTAGATAATGTTCCTACACACCTTACCCAAGGAACCCGATCGTCCCATTCGTCGAACAACTCGTCAAAGCAGACGAATTGCTGGAACGACGAGCAGATCTGGTTGATGAGGTACACCCAGATCTGCATCGTCCCATCCCGTCTTTGTAGAACTTCTACCTTCGTTCGTCTTTGGCGAGTTCCGAAGCTATACAAATGGACTCCTGGAAATGCTTTGGAGTGTAGGAGATATTTAGGTGTTGATCCGGACTCTCCTCTGTTTGTGAAGGTTACTGGGTTTTAATAAATTGCATTAATTTATCGAAATGTTGGGTTTTTTTTTTCAGTATCTTCACTCTCCTCTGTTTGATTTTGTTTCTTGTGATGAATGTTAGTTAGATGTTACAACATCAGTCTATATATGCGCATGTGTGTGTGATCAGTGATCATATATAAATCTATCCAACCTTGAATATTCTTTTCTCAATCTATTTTATAGTTTTAGTGTGTCTAAATATACATTTGTTGCAATCAATTTAGGAAGAATTGAAGAATGGAGAAAGAGAGGGGCAGAGAGAGTGAGGAAGAACATGCCCTAGATTGGGGTGGGTTTCGTCAAAATCTTGGTTTTAGTATTGAATTTTATTTTTTTTATCCACAATTTGGGGACTATATTACAATAATAGCATACATTAATGTGTATTTTATGTATAAATTTGATGTGGGGATTGGTTAATATATGAAATCCAAACACATGCTTGGATTGAATATGTCCATAAAGCCATTTCTCTGCTCACTCAGTTTTCTTGAAAAATTGTTTTGTTTTGAGGTTACATGTAAAGTGTTTCAAGCCAAGAGTTCCTAAGAATGAAAAGGGGAAGGCAGTTCTGATGGCTTTGGGTGTGGAGTATTGTTGCAAGGTCCAGGTTAGAGCTCTGTGGGTGAATTGACTTAACAGGTTATCAGCTTCAATAGAAGCTGATTTTGTGGTCATGGTGCTTAAGGGGCATCTAAGGGCTTGGAAATTCTGGGAGCTTTTGAAGCAAAATTTAGAGCTGCTTGGCAAAATGAACTTTTGTTTGGTTCATGTTTATAAAGAGGCGAATGGTTTGGCAAACTTTTTTGCGAACTTGGCTGTGCAGAATGGCTTCTCTACTGATTTCTCCTAGGATTTGTGCATTCCTCTACAAGCGAAGATGCTGCTGTTGCATAACCAGCAAGGAACCAGAGTGCTTAGGAAAAAAATAGTCATTCTTTGATTCTTTGTATTTCCATATGATTGATAAGTGTTGGTTTGCTTCTTGTAATTTTTTGAAACATGGAATAAAGTGTTGATTTGTTTGAAAAAAAAAACGATTGAAGATCAAGCTTCAGTTGGGTTGAATTCGAATCAAGAGCTTGAGAGCAAGGATTATGTTGAGAAAAAGTCGAGTCTTGGAGATTGCTTTTATATTTTCATTGTTTTGGTTCCTTTATCATATTATTGTTTTAAGGCAAGGTTGTTTGCCTTTCTCCATTGTAATCAATTTTTTTAGAAATGAAATAAAGTATTGATTTGTTTGGAAAAACAAATACAAAAAAAAAACTATGAACTTTTCTAACAAATAAAAATTATTATTTTATTTTTATATGTTTTTATGTATACGTGGAAAATTTATAATTTTATGAGGATAATCTATTAATCCAAACATAGGTTAGGATTGGAACGGAAAGAGTTATGGGTAGAATAGTAAACTATTACAAAATTATTTGTGTAATCTATAGAGCCCACTAAATTACACATTTCTTTCCCAAACAAATGGCAGGATTGGATATATTTCAAGATTAGGATTTTAAAGTGGATGAGTTAGGATATAAAAAAAGATATTCTACCCTCTCCAACCCCATTACCCAAACACACCCATGGGTTTTCGGCCTGACATATAAAAAATGTTCGAAATTTTAGAGTTTAATAATAAAGTGTAGATCAAAAATTAAAACCCATTATAATTTAACGTAACAAAAAAACTCTTGAAAGATTACGTCAACAAAATTAAATTTAAAATTTACGTCTAAAAGTGCAGTACACCTCACACAGACACATTTATTAAAGGACAAAAAAGGGTTAACATTTTGATAAAAAAAATATAATAAGTATTTCTCTCTTTCACAAATAAAAATAAATCAAACACATTTTCTACTTCTCTTAAAATCGATTTTGTTTTTATTTAAACAAAAAAAACCAACTAATTAAATTGCTTATTTTCATAAAAGATCCATAATAAAAAATAATTAATATAAAAAAACTTTCAATAAAAGTTGTTAATAGAGAAAATAAAACATAACAAAATAGAATGTGAATGTTGCATACATAAACAAGTAAAGGATCATATAAAAAAATTAAAAAATAATAAAATAATTTTTTGTAAGATATTTTTTTTGAACTTGATAAAATAATTCAATAACAATATAACTTATGAATGTATACTGATAGTCGATCATGTAATACTACAATTTTAATGAAGAACATGCAAAATAAATTAATAAGAAGAACATAAAAATAATAATGAAACACTATATTGTATTCATGAGAGAGGCAAACAGATGTACGGATCTGTTTGTTAAAAAATGTGTACTTAGTCATAATGATCTATGTATATTTATAATTCCTATGAATTATAGTATTGAACAGTTACATAGAGAAAGCATGTGTATGAAATAACACATATGTAATATTTAATACTAGTGAAATATAAAATTCGATGTCTAAAAAATCGATCTCACTATATTAAATAATAATTTTTTTTTTCTTCTTTTATTTGATTATATAATTTCAAATTTATTTTTACCCATTATTTTTTTAAAAAATATCGACAAAAATACGTAATCTAACAAATTTTTTCAATATGTATATACTATCGTAAATGGATAATGTCTGAAATAAAAATTATGTTAAATTACCAATTAATCAAATATTAAATGATTAAACATGTGATAAAAATGAGTGATAGAATGATTTTGGGAGAAAATATGTAGGAGATAAAATTTCAAACACTTGCATATTTTATTATATAAATATACTAGCAATTGCCCGTGTCTGAAGTCACTATCTAATAAACAAAGAAATTGCAATTAATTGATCGTGCTCAACGTTGATGTTTTTTGTATATCAATATGAACCCTAAAAAACAAAATTTAAATAAACCAAGATATTTGGTACAATTGACCTTTAAATATCAAATGGCAAAAGTCATAAAACATTTAAAAGAAAATAAAATGCTAACCTAAACTAACATCTAGAATTTAAAGTATGTTTGCTATGGTAATTGGATTTCAAATTTTACAAAAAAAGAACACAATTAAACTTATCAAAGGACCATACCAAATAACCATAAAAACAATCATAATTAATCTGCTCTAAATTGATTTAAAACTTTCAACTAAATAAGGAGCCTGCCACGTGACTATCCAATTCACCTTAAAGCTGTATCACCACCAAATTCCACTTCAGAATCTCTAGTGCCATTTAATACAAATTGTTCACATTGATAAAGAATCTCTCATCTGAAAAAATAACAAACTCCTATTAACAATCTCACGTACACATACACATACTGTTTGTGGATTCATATTAGTGTACCAAGTTGTGATCTACCTATATATACTTGTATAGAACTTCAAATCTTACCATCTCTATAGCTCTAAAATTGCATCAAACAAAAAAGAAGTTATGATTATCATGGGCTAAACTTACCAGTATAAATGAAAGTTTTTTTTTCTTTTTTCACCAAAGCAGAACAACAAAAAGTTCAAATTATTTCATATATAAAACATACTGCCCAATAACAACTGATGAGTTGTGTCGAAACATACAATTGCCCTGAGACCAACACGATGAAACGAAAAATTATCAAAATAAAAGTTGTTAAAAAAAATTTGCATGGAAAAAAAAAACATAGATCAACAATTAAAATTTGATCCACCAAAATTGAAAAATATTCAGGTGCACAACAGAAATAAAGACCCCCATGATAAAACCTTTCATAAATATCTCACAAAAACTATTTGATTTGGACCAAATAATATCAAGGTGATATACTTAAACCTGATTTTAAACTTTATAAGAAGTTCAAGAGAGGGAGAGCATTATTGCTTTAGAAAATCATATCATCATACAAAAACCTATCTTTTATATGAAAGATTTTCAAAAACTTTCACAGTTAGAAAATTAACAAAATACAGAGAATTATCTTAGTGGCAAAAAAAACTTCCAATTTTGACCGAGATAAAAGCAAATGACTCTTGTTCAGGCCACTATTCTTGAGGACTATTTTTTTTTTTTTTATCAATTTCTACATTATCAAAGATGTAACAGAACATCAAAGCTCTAATTTAACCTCAATCTAACCAAAAAAAATCATAAATCAAACCATTATAAGAGCACAATCAAACTACATGGATGTACCTTGCAAACGTGAGAAAATTAATTGTGAGAGAGTGGTCCCGTTTTTTCGTTGATGATGGATTTTGGAATGATTGAGAATAGATAGGGATGGGATTGAGAATGGTTTTATCAAGGTTCTATGGCCAATGCATCAATCGTATTCCCCAAAACATTACCTTCTGCAGGGAAAGAAAAAACATCAAGAATCCCTACCAAAACACCCAAAAAATTATAATTGGAGCAAGGGAAAAATATTGAAAACCCCTAATAACAATAATCACAAAATTGTCAATACCCCACATGTACATCATTTCATGCAACCAAAAAGATATGTCAAAGGTGGGGAAAAAAAGCATTAACAAAATTAAATCAAAAAGTACAAAAAAAAAAGATGGTTTGGAGATCGTGAACTCTCACGCATTTCAGCAAACATTTCATGTGCATGTGTGATTGGGGCAGTGATTGTGACCTAGGAGAAGAGAAAGTTAATGAATGAGAAATGGTTATGGCATTGTGTGTTGTCTGTCTGCATGTGTTGTGTGTTGCGTGTGTGTGTGTGTGCATGCATCAGAGAGATGAAGACAAAGAGAGAAAGAGAGGAGAAAGATAGAGATGAAAAGAGAGGGAGTTAGAACCTGGATAGTAGGTATATTGTTTGCGTCGGCTTTGGTGTCGTTGGTGATGGGTTGCTCCATGGTGTCGCTAGATAAAGAAATAGGCAAGAAAGAGAGGGAAACCAGAGGGAGAGAAAGAGTGTGTCTGATATGAACAATAAATATGGAGAGCAGCACCAACAGGATAAAATTTTGGGGAGAGTGTCTTAGTTGGAAAGAGAATCATGAAAGATGAGAGTGTGAGAAACAGTCAATGTCTCAATATAGAAAGTGATCCCTTAACATAGGAAACAAAATCAAGAAAATAATGATAAGAGTTATAATTTGTATTTTAGAGGGAGAGAGAGAGTTGAGGAATGAATTTTCGGATTTGATTGGATTGGGGAATTAAATTTAGGGATGTTCGTTTTGGAAACTAAAAGTTTTGAGTGGCAAGAAAATTTCAAGAGCTAATGTGGTACATCGGATCAAAATGATCTGAGACACCGATAGCTTAAGACAGTTTGAAATATCTTCGGCCGATGAATGATACCTTTTTTGATCTCAAAATGATTTGAGCCGCTCTTTGTCTTTTGAATTCAAAATT